ATCATGGAGCTCCATTATTGCCTTTACAGTCCGTAAGAGAGGTATTAGGTAGTAAATAGAGTGTTTAAAAACCATACGCTCCGTAATGTTGGTTGCGGTAAGGCAACGAATACAAAGTACATTTTGTAAAACGTCCTACGATCTAGTAGTTTGTGGCAACCATGTGCGTCACTGTCATTATTTGACGTTGTGTCGTAACTGCTTTGATTCAGTGAATGAACTACAAAGTATACGATGTATGTGGGTATTCTTATAAGAGCAGGTTGCTATTGATCTAGTCATCACTTGAGGAAAGTGAAAAATGCTTATTCAATATCTGCGAAGGGGTTTTCTCTATCAAATTCCTGAAAGGCCATTGTATTATGTTTCATTCCGATTAGTCCTCCTAATAATTACTAGGACATGATTACATGACTTCCAGGAGCCGCCTAGATGAAAACATTTTCTGTTTCCAGGTCAATACATCCGGTTGAATTGGTACAATCATCCCTAAAATGTCTGCATTGCTCATTCTTGTTTGATTTTCTATAGAGGTAATTATCAATATGCACGCATTCAAAAGCAGACCTACATGTCAATCGGCCGTGGTTATTCATTTCTAAAATCAAATGTTAATTATTTAATCTAGTTGGTGGCTAGGAATTTTGCATGCTCGCGTTGTTCAAATTTCGCATGAACTCGTATATGTGAAGGACAGCTATCCACCATTTTTCCCCTTCTATGTATGTTCAGAATTCAACCATTGTGTTATTACTAAGCCTTTTTTCATAAGCGCCATTTCACTATGCGTTTGAATTGAGTAAAAATGAGCTATTTATTCTATAGATTCCAGGAAGCTACGAGTATTTTCTGGTACTTCAGATCACTGAGCTCACGAAAGAGGCGTATATATTTTTAAAAATGTGCAAGTAGAATAACTAATTAAAATTGGGCGTAGATATATTAAGTGTCAAGGTACTGTATTTACTATATTGTTCAACGCTAGAAAAAGATTGCTGAAATCTCGCGGTCTTCCATCAATCTAATCTTTAAAGACTGAGTTAACTTGGTGACAATGACATAAAGAAACTAGAAATATATTATTTTGGCAAAAATGAATGCACTAAAGCTCTGATAACCCCGTTGAGTTATCAACGGCAGTTGCGCAAACCACTCGAGACGTGTTGATATGTAACGTGATTTAGACTTTTTAGTCTTTTAATTTAACATATATGTATGCCTTTTATGTCAAACAGATGCGTAGTATTACCGGGATCGACAGCTTCTTAATGCTGGAACGAATTTTACTGATTCCATTCCACCCAATCTCAAATCCCAATTTTCTATCACTACTCAAAAAAAAAATAACTGGATGCGTGCAGGAGTCTCTGAAGTATAAAAAACTAAATTTGAGTAACTCTAATTAATTGCGTTTTTTGCACGTAGCTCCGCCGCCACTTGATCGATTTTCAAAACCTGCAAAGTTTTTTGTCCCGTTATAGTTATAACTAGAGACCGGATTATATGAATTTGCATAGTAGCATATGCATTTGCATATTAGGCCTATTTTCGCTGGTTCTTGCATATTTCAACAAAAATCTAGAGACGTTGCATATTTTTGCTATAATTACAACTTTTTCGGCCTGTTATCTCTATAATAAATTAAATTCTACGTTGCAGCTAGACAAATTTATTGATCTCACGCTTTTTCGCCAGACGATAAGGTTTCCACTAAAAATATTGGTAGATGAGACGTTCTAGCGGGTTAGCGCCTACATTTTATATGCGAAAGTGCTTCCAATGAACAGGCAGCCTAAGCAGCCACGCATTAAGGCCAAGTAGACCACTGACGATCCACGACACCAGGGCACTCCATGTAAGTATTTCGCTCACCGATTACACCGGCTTGCTGAAACAGTGCGATCCACATTTGGGAATGTGAATAAACTGATTTCATCCACAAAAAAGATAGTTCTAAGGGCACCTGCTCGCATCCTGACCTACAGAGAAAAACTGCCAAAAATGTACTTTTACCTCCCGAATCAGTGGTAACTCGATGGGGAACGTGGATTGAAGTTGTACTGTTTTACAGTGAATATTTCAAAGACATGAAAGATGTAGTAGATGATTTCGATAATGCAGATGGTAAGGCAATTTGTGACTGCAAGGAAGCATTCAACAACTCTAGTATCAAAAGGAACATAGCTATGATTATATAGCACTCCGTTTTGTCAGATGCATTCTCGTCTAAGTTTAAATATAAGTTTGAAAGCATGTTAAACAATAACCCAGGCTTTTAATGTTTATGTCAAATTGAGAGCTTTATTTTTGGTAGTGGTAACGTTTTGCCGGAGACAATAAAAGCTAGCATAGCACCCAGATTCAAATACTGTCCAGTCCTCTCCTTAGATGTGAAGCAGTCTTTTTCGACCTGTAATAATATTTTGAGTAAATGTTGCTGAACGTTACAATACATTATTGTTTGTGTTTTCAAAAATAGCAACATGTTAACTAGACACTTACAGATCTCATAGATAAGTCATTCAAGTGCTTAATTATTATTTGTAAGCCGATTTTAAAACAAAAGAAATATAAAAACTATTGTTTTATTGTCATTTAATTTTGCATATTTTGATACTTTCAAGAATATTGTAACCATTTTTCATGCATATTTCAAACTTTTTATGTTGCATGTAATCCGGGTCTCTAGTTATAACCTTAGGTAAAGGATTCGTTGGGGTCACTTCCTCGCCAGCTGACGTGGGCACCTTGACTTAAGCGGCTGAAAAATATCTGCTAATGTGTGTAAACATACTACTTGCTGTATCTGTATCTAGATTCTTCAGGTAATATGGACAACAGTATCAGGATCTGGGTATGTATAAATCTTTATCAGTAATTTATATCGGTATTTAGATGCTAACATTCATCATCAAATGCAGCACGGATGAAGCTGTTTTCCAACTTTGAAGGTCCTAAATTCCTCTAATACTGTATAAGATGTTTCCTAATCCAAGTTATGCAAAGATTGCGTCCCGTCAACTACTAGGATATTTCAGAAATTAAGCGTCCATAACTCAATCCAGTCAGGGTCAGGGGTGAGGAATTTCGCATCGTCTCATTACTCGAATTTCACAACAAACTGTAGCCCGGTCGCGATTTATGAGGGGAGCTGTACGCGCTATTTTCCGTACGCAAGGGTGAGAGACGACAAGGCAGACGCGGAGGGGAGAATTTCATCCCTCGCACGTTTCACGATGTGTATCATCGAACAAGTTCGGCCATGGATGGCGTTAAAGGTATTTGTGTAAGGAACACAAACATGGGCGCCCGAAGAAATATTTCCTAGGTTGGCCGATTAGACATCAGTAAGGGGGAATTTTTCTATCCCTTCAAGAGCGTGTTTTGTTTATTTCCAAGGAAAAGGCAGGTAAAAAGAACATCGTAGGACCCTTTCGGGCGAGGACACAGTACACCACTTGGCGTCGAGCGAAAAGGCGGTATACGTGGTTTAACTCGTGAGAGCTTCGTAATTAATAAATTTCCTGATAATTTTATGAATTCACGGATTTTAACGGCTTATAACAATCTTAAAAATGCGTTAGCCCAAAAATTGTTAAAGAGCGGAGTGGCAAATCTGCAAGATCCCAAAAAATACGAGTATACGGAAAAGCATGCTAAATATGCAAAGCTTTTGATTATTTTAGGGCTAAGTAATGAAATTTTTAGGCAGCTCGCTCTTTAGGCCAAGCGAAAGTTGAGGCGCAGGATGCCGCAGGTGAGGTGTTGTAGTGCAGTAATAGCAGCATCAAATTAGTAGCGAACTTGAACGTTAGGGGATAGGGGGCAGATCTATGCATTATTTCAACTCACGGGAGTAGGAGTGTCCCTAAGGTGAACCCTAATCAACGATGAATCAACTAGGCCATTAGTTAAACCATTGATTCCCAAAGTGGTCTATATCGACCCCTAGGGGTCTATGACGACCTGCAAGGGGTCTACGTCAGCGAAAAAAATTTTGGGGGTCCATGAAATGAATATGGGGGTCCACGATATTGGATCTCAACACATACACTGATAGTACCTATTTACTTACATCATACTATCTTATAATATCAAGACATATACATTATTTATAAAAGTACCTATGAAGTAAAAAAATTATTATATATGTTTATAAAATTGTGCAAGTTGTAGGATGTTGGTATTCGCTTTGTGGTCGCAATACATTTTGAACATGTAAAAACCTGAGAGTCGCAGCCTCAGAGCTTCGCAACCGTACATTGACTTGTTCAATTCGTCACTCTATAAATACGAATGTGGGACAAATACGTTTATTCGTTTCCTGGATCTTGAAGAGGAAAGTGCTAAGAAAATATTTTAAAAAATATAAACAGATAGTATATCACACAAATTATAGTGAGGCAGTGTTATTTTGTTTGAGAGTGCTGGAGAAAAGTAAGTACATTATTCTTTATTAAATTTTAGTTTTGTACTCGTAGTTAGCAAAGATAGATAAATTACCCTAATCATGACTTTAGTTATTAGTAGTTAAATATTCAATCATGCAAAATTACACGAGTACTCCTCAATAGTTTCTTTTTGAAAGTTTTAGCAATCGGTAATATAATTATAGTGCAATATCCGTAATTCGAGCTAATTGTTGCAAGAAGATGTTCGAATTATGGAATGTTTACGGAAAAATCAAAAAATATTTTTAATATACAGCTGCTGGATTTTCTGTCTTAATTAACTAATTTAATTTTGTCCACAGATGACTGATGCCATGTCCGAATCTAAAAAGAAATGTAGACAGTACAGTGTTGATTATTTGAAATTTGGCTTCATTCCATCATTGCCAGACAAACAATCGCCTATGAGCCTTTTATGCAAGAAAGTTTTGGGCAATGACGCTATGAAACCATCTAAACTGCAAGATCATCTGAGTAGATGCCACCCTGATAAAACAGAGAAAGATTTGAAATACTTTCAAACACTCAAAGATAAATTTCAGAAGAGACCTATACTGGACAGAATGTTCGCTTCGACGTCACAAAGAAATGATGATGGTTTGCGGGCGTCTTACAATATCTCGTTACTCATAGCAATATCCGGAAAACCGCATACTATTGAAGAGAAGTTAATTTTGCCAGCCGTTGAAGAGGTTTTAAAAACTGTTTTACACAAACCTGCATCTGATATCATTAAACGAATTCCCTTAAGCAACCATACTGTTGAAAGACGTATTGATGAAATGAGTTCTGATATTGAAAGCTTCTTATGTAATTATTTGTAAACGACCCATTTCTCTATACAACTGGACGAGTCAACTTTACCTGATAATGCAGCATTATTATTGGCATACCTATGTTCGTTTTATTATGAATCAAGAAATCTACGAAGAACTGCTCTTCGCAAGAACTTTGATAACCGACACTAAAGGTGAATCAATATTTCATGTTTTGAAGGATTACTTCATTGAAAAAGCAATTCTTTTATCAAATATAATATCAGTAGCTACAGATGGAGCACCTGCCATGGTAGGACGTTATCGTGGATTTATAAGCTATTTAAAACCAAATGTGTCAGGGGTGTTAGCAATACATTGCGTCATCCATCGACAATACTTAGTTGCTAAAAATTTGAGTGTTAGATTGCATGAATCACTTCATTTAGTCATTGATGCAGTAAACCGAATCCGAAGCAACGCGTTGAATACGCGGTTATTTGCGCAGTTGTGTGAAGAAAATGCCGAACACTTTCATCAATTACTCCTTCACACTGAAGTACGTCATCCATCGACAACACTTAGTTGCTAAAAATTTGAGTGTTAGATTGCATGAATCACTTCATTTAGTCATTGATGCAGTAAACCGAATCCGAAGCAACGCGTTGAATACGCGGTTATTTGCGCAGTTGTGTGAAGAAAATGCCGAACACTTTCATCAATTACTCCTTCACACTGAAGTATGCTGACTGTCGAAACGCTTATGTTTGACAAGATTTTTTGCACTTTTTGAGACTATTTTAGAATTTCTGGATACTGAAGATAAAATTTTAAAAGAAAATTTAATGAAGAGGAAAACAGACATCACCTATTTAACAGATTTGTTTACAAAATTTAATATAGTTAATTTGCAATTACAAGGCGACAGTTTAAATTTGATTAAAACAAAGTCCATCTTATCAGCATTTCTTGCCAGAGTTAAACTAATGAAGCAAAATATTGGACGGTGCGAATTATCTCAGTTCCCCAATTTGTCTCAGACAAGCTGCCAGGAAGACGACGTTTCAACTTACGTTCAACATTTAAATGCCCTCTATTCAGATTTTGAATCTAGGTTTGAGGATATTTTGACTATGGTAATACCACCGTGGATAATTAATCCATATGGTGACATAGGAGAAACGAATGTCATAATACAAGAGGAACTGAGTGAACTAAGTACAAACGAAGAACTTAAGGTTCAGTTTAAAAACGGATATCAGCAATTCTTCCTTTCCATCGTCATACCTAGTGGAAAGGGGGCTCAGCGCTGTTACCAATCCCCTAACGAAAAAAAGAAACAGACTGGACATCATTAGCCGAGGAGATTTAAGATTAACCCTTACAAAATTGACGCCAAATGTTGATAATTTATTATTAAAGCATCAGGTTCATCCTTCTCACTAAAAATATTGACTTATTGCTTATGTTATTTTATTTATAGTTTATTTCATGTTTATTGGTATCTGACCAATAAATGCCCGCATTGGGAATAAGTGCCCGCATTGATTTTTTTAAAGAACCCCCCCTTTATAGAAAATATTTTTTTTTAAATTATTCTGAAAATTCAAGGATAGGTACACACTAAAATTCGTTAATTTTTTGCCTATTTTTAGATAACTTAAACGTATAAGAAGCGGAATTTAATCAAACTAACAGTGAAATTATTGTAAAACATACGTTTATGTTATAATTAATAAACGAACTCGCTTTTAGGTAAAAAACTTTTTTTTTTCACTTTTTTTTATTTTATCCCTCTTATTTTTTTCAATGCGGGCACTTATTCCCAATGCGGGCACTTATTGGTCAGAAACCTGTTTATTTAATGTTACGTATATTTTACATAACAGATACAAAATTTTATTTTGAGTAGTTTTAATTTAAATTCAATTAATAAATGTATCAGGTAAGTAGGGAGTCTACCCAACACGGAAAAACATGGCAAGGGGTCTACGACACAAAAAAGTTTGGGGAACTCTGAGTTAACCTACAACTCTTTTCACTCGGCCCTACAGTTTCTAGGCTCTAGTTCTCTTTAGATAACAAGAGGAGACTAAATGTCGTACTGAAATTCTTATTAGGTATGACATCTTGTAGAGGAGAAAAAAGTGGCAATGATAATGTGCAACTTATTTTGGAATCTCACCCTATATAAAGTTAAGACAAAACACATGTTTTGAGAAAATTTGTTTTTTTCGCATATCCCTGGAAAGCTTTACCTCCGTTTCAATGGTTTCGATCTCTTACCGTTTCCGAGATTACAATTGTGAGTCGAATTTAATGCACTTCGTGTTAATCTAACATCTGAAACTTTAAGATTATGTGTGCCATTTTTTTCTGGCCAAATGAAACCACATTATGTGAAAATTACTGACGTCTCGAGCACCACGGTAACCTTTTTCAATGTACAGGCCAAAGTTCGCAATGATTGCCATAGCACTCAATTAACTAGTATTCACCTTTATACCGGACTATTAAATAAAAAATCGTGGTCGCTGTTTTGAAACAGAAAACCTACGGTTTGTTTTTCGGACAAAACGAATGTGTGCGAATCGGTTGTATTTATCAAACGGCCTTTGTTCAAGCCACAGTGTACCGAGAAATAGTTAATTTGGTTTTGTCCAGGTCAATAGTTTAAATGCGATTTGCAGCTTTGCTGCCACGACCAGATAGACAATTTAATTCAATCGGCACCTGGACAGCGGCTTGGTTTCCGCTTTTTCTGATAGGATCATCTCACTGATAACGAAACGATTTGAACACAAGGTTCTACAGACCGACAGGAAAATTAAAGGACAAATTCAACACACAAAATCAATCAAAACTTATCTTACATACTCAAATTTAAAATTCGACCAATATAGAATGTCGCGCATTTTGGTTCGAGTACTTATGTGGGCCGCAAACAAATTTATTGATGTCTACACACAACAGATCTATTGAATAAAACAAAAGAATTGCCTTGGAAGTAAAATCTTATAAGCACAAAGTATCTATCATTTCCATTTCAATAAGAATAAGTTTATTTTTTAAAGTTAATACTGAAAAAATCTCCTACATTTAAGTTTTTCTTGTAAGTCTTTACTTATTCCTTATCGTAATTATGACTATTTACTTGGATATCGCTGTTAACGGTTACGCTTGCAAGACAAATCACGTTAAGTCTGTATCTTTTTGATACGGTGTGTACAATGTTAGTTACCGATCAAGACTATAATCATGCAGTCGAGTGAGGAAGAATTACATGTCCAGATTGGCTGCTAGAGGCTCATATTCGCCAGGTTATTAAAAAATCATGGAGTTATTTTGAATAAATCAATGATTCCGTCGATCGTTCAAGCTAAATAAAAGGGATGGACGAATAATAAAGACGAATTTGTTAAGACTTCTGGTACAAGTATTATCATTGAGAAATTGAGAAAAATCCTCAATAACATGAAAGCAGATGTAAATAAAAAAAAACTAATAATCACACGACTGGTAACAAAAAATTTAAACTAAGTGAGTGGGAAAATGAATCTTATAAATACTGAATAATGAAAAAAATCCAGTGCTCGTGAACGTTCTTGGAAGTAATAATAACGGAAAAACAGATACTTCCGAAAATAATGGATCAACTAGTATAAGTTCACAGTTACCTCCTTTACCCACAGAAACGATAGGCAAGCGTCCAAGTAAGTTGAAATGGCCATTTACTCTTTTATCTTCGAGAACGTTAAAAGCCTAATTACTCCATCACAACATGGTTTCATCAAAGGTAGATCCACTACGTCAAATTTAATGACAATTACGCAGTATATAGCAGAATCCTTAGACAAGAAACAACAAGTCGATGTTGTTTACATGGATTTTAGCAAGGCTTTCGATAAATGAAACCATCATCTTCTTGTGGATAGCCTTCATCATTTCGGCCTTAGTGACTCGTTAGTCGGTCTTTTAAGCTCATATCTTTCTAATAGGACGCAATATGTTTACTATAATGGTTATTCTTCAGCAAATTATACTGTTCCCTCTGGAGTACCGCAAGGCTCAAACCTAGGTCCCTTGCTGTTTTTATTCGTCATAAATAACCTAGTCGCTTCACTAAAGTGTGAATGTCTACTATTTGCTGATGATCTGAAAATCTACACCAAAATTACAAATTTGGAGAGCTGTATTTCCCTTCAGGACGATCTGCATACCATCAGACAGTGGTGCGACAATAATATTCTCTTCTTAAATATTTCCAAATGTAAAGTATGTTCATATTGTCGTAAAATGAACCCGATTATGTTTGATTACTCCATAAATAATGCGGTTTTGGAGAGAACAACAGAGACTAAAGATCTTGGTGTAACATTTTCCTGTAGATTGGACTTTTCTGTCCATGTAGCACGCGTCACTTCCGAAGCGACACGGATTCTGGGTTTCATAATGCGCAACTGCCGATCTTTTTCCAACGAAGCGGCACTAAAAGCTCTTTTTATTTCACTGGTGCGACCAAAACTTGAGTATGCCTGTTTGATATAGAACCCTTTCTATGCGTATTATATAGGCATCTTAGAAAATGTGCAGAGGAAATTTCTTAAATTCTGTGTTTATAAAATCGATGGCACATATCCAGAAAGGGGGGTCTCTCAATTTGTTTTGCTGCGTCGTTTTGAACTAGAGTCTCTACAGTTAAGACATTCCACTGCTGGCCTATCATTCCTTCATAAGCTTTTGCACGACTGAGTGGATGCACCAGAACTTCTCCAGAGGTTAAATTTCTATATTCCACGGTTAAATACGAGAAGAACTTTCTACTGCAGTACCTCCCGTACAAATGTATTATTTTATTCTCCGCTACATTCTATATACAACAATTATAATTCCATAGCAGACAGTTCTGACATTAATTTTGATTGTATCAGTAAGATCGTGTCGAATTTGAGGTACTATTATAATAGCTAGTTCTATTTTTTAAATTAGTTTTAGATATACATTACATGTATGAATTATAAGTAAAGTTACCATGATATTGTCCTTTAATTGGAATAGTTCTGTTGGGCAGTAATGTATAAATAAATAAATAAATAAGTAAGAATAAATGCAAGCAAGAAAGTGAAGAAACCGAAAAGTTTTCAACACAACAGTTACAACGACTTATTCTACT